GGCAAATCATCTGTGACCCTGCCGAAGGGTGGTTGAAAATTCGGTGGCCCTCGAAGACCGACGCTGGAGCAATGCTGGCCGGAGCTGGAGCCAGGTGGCGCAACTCTGTGACCTAGCTTAGTGGGGGCGTGAGGCCTGGTAGAGATCTCTGGGGGGCTGTTTGCGGGGGCAGTCTCAGTGGTCATCGGGGGTCGCAACTGGAGCAATGCTGGCCGGTGCTGGAGCAAGGTGGTGCAACTCTGTAACCTAACCTGATGGGAGCATGAGGCCTGGAAGAGCTTCGGTTCGTGCTGAAAACAACCATGCTGGTGGTGGTTGTAGGTGGATTGAATAGGTTACACCTATCTGATTCGTGGTTGGGAGGCTTTTTGACACACATATCCTAGTGACTTGGTAGAGTTTGAATAGTGGAAAAAAAAAGTTGGCTGTTCTTATGAATGTCTTAAGGACTCCAGGTAGCAACCCATCTTAGGCGGTTTCGATGTTGTAATACTCAGTGATCTGCGGCTGTCCGATGCCAGAACGACGCTGGCCGGTGCTGGGGTGTTGCCCTGTAACCTGCTGATGTAGGAGTGTGAGGCCTGGTAGAGAGATCTGGGGATGCTTTGGGGTGGGCATCCCAAGGGACAGCCAAGGGTTGCTGTTGGGAGAACGCTGGTCCGAGCTGGGGCGAGTTGTGTTGCCCTGTAACCCAGCAGGGTGGGGGCGTGAGGCCTGGAAGAGCTCAACAGGGAGTAAGACTGTTGGAAAGTCTTAGAAGGGCTTGTTAGGGATCCTGAGGGCTGTGAGCATTTGTAGGACCTCTGTGGTAGCCTATTGCATGAGTAGTTCCTTAATAGGTCATTAGATATTCATGATCCTTCCCATGCCGTCTGATTCATATCGCGTTCACAGACTGTTCTCAGCCGAAGCCGGGTAATGGCCCCGGTATCTCAAATGATCTCAATGTTCTCAATGATGTGTACCAATCGAAATGGGACGCTGGGCCCGGTTCCCAGCACGTGCTGCTCCCCACTAATAGACTGGAGCATTTGTTTATGAAAAATAAAAAATAAAAAATAAAAAAGGAACATGAAAGATACACTGCCACAATTTTTTGTTATTATTATTTATTTATTTACTTTTAAAAAAAATAAAATTGTGTGTGTGTGTGTGTGTGTGTGTGTGTGTGTGAGAGAGAGAGAGAGAGAGAGAGAGAGAGAGAGAGAGAGAGAGNAGAGAGAGAGAGAGAGAGAGAGAGAGAGAGAGAGAGAGAGAGAGAGAGAGAGAGAGAGAAAACATGTAAGTCTCCAACCTCGCGGCTGGCCTCATGGTACTTCCATCGATAGGATGAGCAAAATCGAATGAATCTACCGCTAGAACATGGAAATATACACTGCCACACTTGTTTGTGTGTGTGTGTGTTTGCCCGCGCGCGCGTCTGTGTGTGTGTGTGTGTGTGTGTGTGTGTGTGTGTGTGTGTGAGAGAGAGACAGAGAGAGAGAGAGTTTTTCATCGATAGGAGGCGGGGTGTTGGGGAGTTGGGGAGGGGCGCAGCAGAGGGGTGTTGATGGTTGTAGGGGAGGGATGTTCAGGGGTGTAAGGGCATAAAAGGGGTGTGTTTTTTTAACTTTTTTTTTTGCTTTTTTGTCGTTTTTGAGTGGGGTGGCTTAGTCTTCATCATCCGCAGCCTCCCACCACTCACTCGTTTTTCGAAAGTGGGTTAGACGGGGAGAAAAATAGGTAGAACAGGGTTAGAGCGGGGTTAGGGGGGGTTAGAGCGGAACTCGCACGGCGCCCTACCCCGCTCTACCCGTTCTTCCCCACTTCCTAGACCACAGACATCACAGACAGAGCGGTCCCCGTAAGACTCCAAACCACTGACCACCGACTATTTAGCACTCCTTAAAGGTGCTCACCTAGCCACGCAGAAAGTTCGTAGAAAAATTCAAGCAAAGTTGCAAACATAAAACTGATTGTGTGTATTTAAAATTTTCCCCACAACAGCCCCAATTCCACCCAGATGAGTAGATTCAGAATCAATGCAGCTTTTGTCCTATTGCAGACCATGAGAGCACTCGGTTCGAGACAGTCCAACATTTAAGCATTTTTACAATTAGACAGTTTTTTGGTTATCCTTGGGGTACCCCTTCCATTTGTTCTTCCAGCTCCCCTTTTATATTGTGCCTCGCACGTACAAGGCTGCCCACATTGATTGTGGTTGAGCGGCAGCTGCCCACATCCCCATGTGCCTTAACAATCCACTTGTACGCTATGAAAGGAGGCAGAGTAAAGGGAAAGGTATACTCCTGTTCATTTCACTTCAGCTTCTACTTTGTCTGTTCTCTTCATGATGCTCATTGGTAAGTTATTTGCTAGTAGCACATAAGGGGAGGGTAAACGGAAAGGGGTGAGAAGCGGAGTTCTTTAGGGATTAAGAGGTTGGTGAGGGACAAAGGGTAGGGGAAGAAGTGGACTACAAAGGACAGGACAGAGGTGTGACGAACTTCGCAGGATTGCACATGTTCATCACTGGAGTAGACTACTCTAGAATGGCACATGAGTCCAGCCGCGGACTCCAGCGAGTGTTTGGGTTGCATAAGATTTTGAGTTGAGGAGCACCCGTTGCCTATGGTAAGTTGCTGCCCCTACAGACCGGACAGTACCAGTTCGGGTGCGGACTGTGGAAGCACCGCATCCAATTCTCGCAGTCACAGTTGCTGCATCAAATGGTTCGGTGTAGGCAGATGTCACAGGCTACGTGGCTCCTACATGCTAGGAACACAGACCGACATTGCCCTTCTACAAGTTGGACACGACATGTCAGGATGCCGTACATGAGTGCAGTACTGACTGTCATCATACGTATGAATGCAAAAACTCGCATGGGGATAATCCTCTCAGCACAAAGCATGTGAACCACATGCCCACCAGATCTCAGGTGGGTCATTGCAGAGAGGTATTGAGCGGGTTTCCCGAGTTCCTGTAGTGTTTATTCCCTCTCCACTGGTAGACGACGTCAGGGATTGATCCAAAGCAAGGGTGCTTAGCTGCTGCAGAATTTCGTCTGCAACAGCTCGTCCTGGTGGAGATATCCTTCCAGTGCAGCGCTCTGTAGGTGGTTCATATGGAAGTCTATTACCCACCTCAGGCTGCTGCATCTGTCATTCGTTGCAGGTTTCATGAGTTTCCGCAGTATGTATTCCCTGTATGGGTAGATGACGACGGGGATTGATCCAAAGCAAGGGTGCTTAGCTGCTGCAGAATTTAGCCTGCAACAGCTCGTCCCGGTGGAGATATCCTTTCAGTGCAGCGTTCTGTAGGTGGTTCGTATGGTAGTCTATTACCCACCTCAGGCTGCTGCGTCTGCCGTTCGCTTGGCAAGTGCAGAATGGTGCATGGAGGACATGCTAGGAGAGGATGCAACGGATAATGGCATCGGGGATAGTCCGCGCAATAGAGATATGACAGCTTCCTGAAAACATCTATGACACATAGCACGTTGCTGACATGTCAGCGGACATTCACAGCTATTTAGACATAGCATGTCGCGGCCACGACGGCATGCTGGGCAAGCACTTAGGGGTGGGAAGGATGAGTACAAGATGAAAGGTCACAGTTTTCACGCCAGAGGCTGGCAGTCACCATCCCTTCATAGTGTTCGGAGCAAAGACTATGCCGTGTGCATGCTAACCAAACTGTAGTTGTGTGACGACAGAATGGGATGGCACATCCATCATCCTCTGGAGTAGGGCACCTTCACTGTCAGCAGCAGAATCCGTCCAATCTACACAGGAAGGACTCTCTGTGTGGCCAAGCACAGGGGAGCGAGGTGGTTCAGCCGGATTGCTCTCCGGCGGCTGTAGAGCTTGCGGGTTACACGTCAACATACTGCTCTTGATGGTGTGACGACAGAATGGGATGGCACAGCCATTGTCCTCTAGAGGGGCCCCTTCACTGTCCGCGGCAGAATCCGTCCGATCTGCACAGGGAGGACTCTCTGCCTACCCACGCACAGGGGAACGAGGTGGTTCAGCCGGATCACTCTCCGGTGGCTGTAGAGCTTGCGGGTACACATCGACATACTGTTGTTGATGGACCAGCCACACCCCTTCGCTGTCCATGGCAGAATCCGTCCACCGATCTACAAAGGGAGGACTCTCTGCCTGGCCCCGCACAGGGGAACGAGGTGATTCAGCCGGAGTGCTCTCCGGCGGCTGTAGAGCTTGCGGGTACACATTGACATACTGTTCTTGATGGACGAGCCACACCGAGTGATGTTCGACAGCTTGGTGATAGAAAAAGTTGAGGTTTCCTACTGTGTGCACCCTACCACCATTGTTGTCCCATAAGACTCCATGAATTATCTGCAGGTAACAGCCCTGACATGACCTGAACATGTAGAATGTCTGCACGAATATTCGGATCCATGCCTGGCACGTGACAGCCTGCCTCTCATAATCCCGTGCCAGGCATGAATCCGAACATTCATGCATACCCCACATAATCCCGTGCCAGGCATGAATCCTAACATCCGTGCATACCCCACATAATCCCGTGCCAGGCATGAATCCTAACATCCGTGCNATCCCGTGCCAGGCATGAATCCTAACATCCGTGCATACCCCACATAATCCCGTGCCAGGCATGAATCCTAACATCCGTGCATACCCCACATAATCATACCCCACATAAACCCCTGCCGGGCATGAATCTGAACATTCGTGCATACCCCACATAATCACGTGCCAGGCATGGATCCGAATATTCGTGCATACATCCTACATCTTCCAGGTCATTTCAGGGTTGTTACCGTTGCAGATGATTCATGGACTCGACAATGGCGGTTGGTTGCCATGCGATAAAAAAAAAGGGCCGGTCGTTCCTATGGTCTGCTTATCAACAGTTAATAACCGGTGTACCATTCAGACACATGGGCTGGGTTTGTCTGCCTCTCTCGTTCATATGGCCGTTTGCTTGTTTGTTTTGCACAGCCAATTGTATGTTCTCTGTACTGCAAACGAATGCAAGACAATTTGTTGTTTTGCGTTTGTGTGGGCGTGTACAAGTTTGATGTTTGTGCACGTTGCTGCTGCTCCTCTGCATGTTATCGTGTTCGCAAAACACAACTGCACAAAACACCAGAAAACAACACAAAAAAGCATATGCCTATGACAGACCATGTCGCCCACATTCACCGACCCATCAGGAGTTCGAACCCTGACGGAACCCTGACAGTCTGCTCAGGATGCAGCTCAGCTGATCGGGCCTCGTTAACAGGTCGAGCCTCGACAGTCCATGTCCATGTCCATGTCCATGTCCATGATGTATCTACGACTGCAGTATTCGAGGAACAAACACACCACCTGGCCCAATGCAAGCCATGACATCCTTGACTCAAGTGGTTGACTTTCACTCACACCAGCCTTGTCATCCTGCCAGACTGCCTACGGTAGTTCAAACTAGACACAGAGAAAGAGCCATAGGTCCAGGAAACCGCCACGCTTCCCCCGAAAAAAACACCCCAGCATCACCACCGTACTTCGACGGACGACTCTCTCTGTACGTTCACGATGATGGGGTGTCCCGCCCGGAGGAAAAACGGTAGTCTATCACCATCCACAGCGAATAAAACCCAGTTTCCACACCCACTAGCACTCAGCCAGAGGAGGACTAAGCACTGGGATAACAACCGGTACTATGGGCCCCACCCTAGCCGATTGCCAATGGGATGGATCCCTGGGACTGACAAAAAGACCTCAATCAATCGTCAACAATGAATTCCTCATAAGACAATAAACACTCAATGCCTACTGTAGTACCATTCTAAACTGTTGGAACACAAAAAAAAACGAGACTTAACAGAGCTTCCGGGAACTTAACGTAACTCGACGGAACTGAAACAGTGCCTCCCTTAACAGGAAAAGAAGGGGAAGGGGAAGGGGAAGGGGAACCAGCAGAAGGGGAAGGGACAAGGGAAAAAGGACAAGGGGGGAAACAGTGCCTCCCTTAACAGGAAAGGAAGGAGAAGGGGGAAGGGAAGGGGAAGGGGAACCAGCAGAAGGGGAAGGGACAAGGGAAAAAGGACAAGGGGGGAAACAGTGCCAACAAGGTATGTACCGACGTCCCTGTTGCGCCATAATCCTCCTCCTACTACTACTACTGTAGTATTTTACATCAGCATGTTTCAGACCTCAATGTGCATCATGCCATCCGACGTGGACACTAATTTAGCAGGTCTCATGACTTGTTCTATGCACTGCACTACATCCCCTACGCAATAGTCATTCCAATCAGCCAGGATCATTCCGCATTCCGTCCCCTTCCCCACAGTTTCCACATCTAGCTTATCTCGGCGCAAGGAACGACAAGGCCCTTCAAACATTTTTTCCCCGGACCGTAAGACTCTGATCCTTGCGTTCCTCTGCAACCTGCCGTCGATGACCTTGCACCCGGCCACGGCAGTGGAGGGTGCAGAGCCTTTCCCCTTCACCTCGAACAGCTGCAGCACCTGCGCCTCGCCAGCGATTTTCTCCTCGTTCATGCCTGGCATCTTCCCCACCACCATCTTGCCCACAGATTCCAGAAGGCGGTAAATGACTTGGTCCTGAGTGATCACGACGCTGGCCCTGCGCGCGGCGGAGTCCACTGCCGCCCCCGCGCTGCGGACATTAAACCCGATGATGCACGCTTCGCAGGCCTCAGCAAGCGCCACGTCAGACTGACAGATCGGACCCACACCCGTATGGACCACATTGACGTGCACGCCAGGGCCGCTCAGGTTCTGGACCGCCTCCCTCACAGCCTCGGCGGTCCCGCGAACGTCTGCCTTCACAATCAACGGCACTTGAACCGTATGGTCTTGGCTGCTGCTGTCGTTTTCTGCGGAGGTGTCATCATCGTTATCACCTTCAACGCCCGACGAACTGGCACTGGCTCTCTTGGGATGATGATCATGAGGAGGAGGAGAAGACCACCGCTCGCTCATCTTCCGCAGGCGCTCTTCCTCCTTGCGCTGCTTGCGCATGTCGCTGACCTTGCGCGCCCTCTCCTCCCCGCCCACCACCAGGAGCTCGTCCCCGGCCTCCGGCACCCCTTTGAGGCCGTCGATTTCCACCGGCATCGACGGTCCCGCGCTCTCGATCACTCTGCCGGTCATGTCGCGCAGCCGCCGCACGCGGCCCCATTGCGTCCCGACAACGACGTGAGATCCCGGTACCAGAGTCCCGGCTTGGATGATCGTCGTGGCAAGCGCACCTTGCCCTTTGTCCAGCCGCGCCTCCACGACCACCCCCTCTGCCTCCCCGCTGACTCTGGCGCGCAGATCCATCATCTCTCCTTGCAGCAGGAGTGCCTCCTCCAGCTTGTCCAGACCCCGACACTCAGTAGCCGAGACCTCCACCACCTGCACCTCCCCGCCTATCTCCTCCAACTCCACCCCCTCCTCAATTAACTGTTGACGCACGCGCTTTGGGTCAGCACCCGGTTTGTCGCACTTGTTGATGGCCACGACGATCGGGACCCTGGCGGCGCGCGCGTGCGCCAGTGCCTCGCGGGTCTGTGGCATCACCCCATCATCTGCTGCTACCACCAGCACCACGATATCAGTTACGGCGGCGCCACGTGCCCTCATCGCGCTGAATGCCGCGTGTCCAGGCGTGTCTATGAACGTTAGCGACGCCGATGCTGAAGGCATCTGGACCATGAACGCGCCCATGTGCTGAGTGATCCCGCCTGCCTCCTTGGCCGCAATCGAAGTCCTGCGTAATGCATCCAGCAGCGATGTCTTCCCGTGGTCCACGTGTCCCATCACCGTCACGACGGGCGACCTCGTCGGCCAAGAGACCGCCTCCTTCGAATCTGCAAGCACTTGTTGTCGCTTCGCGTCTACCACTCTGCTGCGCACTCGCCTTACCGTGAAACCGAACTCCAGGGCCAACAACTCCGCCACGTCAGCGCTCACGATCTGATCGGCGGACGAAACTTGTTCCCCGAGCGCGCCCATGGCCGCCTCCAGCGCGTCCAGCTTCGCCCCCATCAATTGCGCTAATTGCCGCAGACTCACCTGGTCGGCAATCTGTACCTCCTTCCGCTTAGGCGGTAAGACCCGCGGTCTACCTGGTTTGTACGGCGCTTCCACCGGCGCAGCCTTGGGCCGCGGCTGTTGTTTCTGCGCCTGCTGCTCCGCCTGCTGCTGCCGTTGAGGCCTGTACTTCGGCGTCGGGGCCCCGGCTGGGAATTTCGGCCTACCACCACCACCACCCGCTCCTCTTCCCCCCCCACCCTTCGAATTGCTGTATTGGGTATACAGGGAATCAGCGTTGTATAGCCTTCTTCCGCCATAGCTCCCTGCATCCTTTTCACCCAAAAGTCCCCGTCGATTGAAACGTGGCTCCGTGAGCGACGATACCGATGAAGATGAAGACGACGATGAGCATATCTGCCTGCATTGCCCCGTTCGAATCTTCAGCGACTCTGATGATGACACGTCATTTGTGCATCTCCACCGTTGATCGCGGGAGTAACCAGAAGATCTAAGCGTTGATGATGCCAAGCGAAGCAAGCGCTTCCACCTGGACATCCCCATCAGCGAGCGGGAAGTCGCTCGCCGTGAGCACCTTTACAAGTAGTATCAATTACCGTTGTTTTTAATTTCTCACAGTGATATTGTATTACTATCTCCCTAGCCACGCTGGCTGTCCGGCCAGAGATCGGGATTCGATTTCCATCCGATGGCTCTTCCAGAACCGTCGTTGAAGGAATGGTGACGTCAAGCATTCGAGGATCTTGCCTGCCAACTGCACCCTGCAGACTAAGGAGGAAGGCACCCTGGCACCCTCCCTCTCTCTAGCACCTAATCCCTCCCTGCCATCGGTCTGCGCCCGAATCCCGCCCCCAAACCACATCACAGAAGACGAAGATCACAAGAACAAGAAACAGCAAACACAGACAAAGCGGGGACAAGTCAGAGTTTCGATTCTTCTGCCGGAAAGGATGCCGTGACACAGAGCTGTACATACGTGCTAATAAACGCATAACCCCATCCCAACCGGTCGCTCGCTCAGTCTTCGTCTCCCGCGTTTGCCAGAAGACCCTCGTGCTCACGGTCTGTGAATGATACTTGAAGGGTACACAATCATAGCAGCAATCTCGCCGAATCAGCCTACGCCTCAGCCATTCACGCTCATGTCACAGATCCGCATCAAGGCGGCCGCCTTACCCGGTGCTCTCTCTCTCTCTCTCTCTCTCTCTCTCTCTCTCTCTCTCTCTCTCTCTCTCTCTCTCTCTCTCGTTGGGGAACACGAAGATGATTGCGATCTAGCCAATGTCCTTTGACATGGGAATCATCCACAGTGACAGATCCCCGTCACGCCAACCGGGTCATGGTAATGGTGTGAATTGCAGCGCACAGAACCCGCCAACAGGGAGACCACGGATCGAGCCCCGCAGTCCGTGCTCTCTCTCTCTCTCTCTCTCTCTCTCTCTCTCTCTCTCTCTCTCTCTCTCTCTCTCTCTCTCTCTCTCTCTCTCTCCGTGCTCTCTCTCTCTCTCTCTCTCTCTCTCTCTCACACACACACACACACACACACACACACGGCCCCTGGCCAACCACCTCTTTTCAGATGACAAGGATGTGAAGTGAATCATTCGGTCTAACCACATTACACACACCACCACTTTCAATCATCCTCAACCACGTCTCAGGTTTGTATGTCTGGCCTTACCGGTGATGGTGTGCCTTGCACCGTGGGAGCGCAGCCCTGACGAGCAGAATGGAGGCCGGCGCGATTCTCACAGGCAGGGCCGTATGGAACGACAGACACCGTTCTTTTCGATTTCGTTTGCTCATGGGACCTCCAAAGGCCCCATCGCGGCCCAGATTGTCAACTTCTCGAGACCCGGTTCTACCCTAAGGGCATACTCACACGGGGACCTAATGATCCTAGGCTACCAGAGTGGCCTGGGACCACTTGCCCCGCCCGGCCAAATAAATAAATAAAATAAAATAAACTATTTTTGAACTTTATTTTTTATTTGCAATTCGGTGAAGATTTTGTTTCTAGAAACATTTTCGAAATGCCCCTGAAGTTTGCGTTTGTTTTCGTTTTGCCCCTCTGACGGTCGACTTACCCTGATTTGCCCCTCTGACAATGATTCAAGTTTCCAAAAAAAACCTGGCGTCGTTTGGGCCTGAACTATGTTCAATATGCCCCTACCGGTACTGGTGCCAAATTTCCAGTATGCCCCTACCGGAAAGCCTTTGGGTACCGCCATCTCTAATGCTATGTTCTCGGCTGTACATTACCCTCCAAGCTCCACAGCTTTCTCAGAGAGAGAGAGAGAGACAGAGAGAGAGAGAGAGAGAGTTGGCAGCAGTACAAAGGAGCTGAAGGGGGAAGAGGAGAGGGAGGTGGAAGTAGACGAGGCGGCGGTGGCGGTAACTCCACAGTTTCGAGGATGTGGTTCGTTGGTCGTGGCGGGACGTTAATGGGCCAAGCAACCAATGGCACGACATTGTGCGTGCATGCACAAGTGTACACGTGTACACATGCCGAGAGCGACAGAGGTGAGCACTGAGCAGTGCAGCAAGGGAAGAGCAACAGAGAAGGGCGATTTTCATCCCCCCATGACCGTGCTGAACGGGGTCGTCGTAGTGACAATGTGCCACACACACACACACACACACACAGAGAGAGAGAGAGAGAGAGAGAGAGAGA